TTGGTCGGTCTGGCGCGGCGGTTGCCCACGATATCCGCGTTGTGTGCGGCCTATAAGTCTGTTATCGCTGAGTGATGTGCGTCAGACGCACGGAAAGAAGAGACAACGGCACTGTACGATTCGTATACGTTATCGCGCCACAATTATTCCGAACGGTGCGCGATAAATCGTTGGCCGCGTCGCCCTCATCGTGGGACCGTGTGAAGTGCAAACGATATATTTTCGATGATAATGTCGCGCGCGCCCACGTTATCGGCCGCAGAAAAAACGTACGCGTTATTATGTGTATTTTTCTGATGGACAACAGAAGGCGGCTGTGGTCGTCGTTCACGCACTTGTGTCGGCCGTATCTTATATTCTTAATACTCGTTGAATAATAACAATGTACATACGTGTGTTGTACATGCCCCAGAAAGATTTCGCTGACCGACGACGAGCTGGTGTCGACCGAAGACGGTTTTGCAGCAGCGAGGCGAGAAACTCGAGACGACCGCTAAATATGTTCGGCGTTAACGAACCGAACGTTAAAAAAACCGCGAGCGCGGCGGAGGGACCCACGACGGTCGCCGCAGCCAATATACTCTACCCATACAATCCGGTTGTCGATTACTTTTTCTCGCGGTCTCGCCAGCGGCCGGTCGTAATGGCGAAATATTCTTCTCGGCGGCGTCGTGTAATCATTACGGTAAACTGATCGCGGTCCGCCGTATTCGACCGTGGCGTTATCCGATACGCGCGTTTCTACGGTTACACTTAACGAGACGACACACCCCTCCCTCCGTACGGGGGATACGCGTACAACGGTCTCAATTCTATAGATTAGCGTGTGCGAATGTTAATTGCAAGTCCGGCCTGTCAACACACACGGTTGTATTGGACAATATTAGATCTAGAAGAGAACGCGCGAAGTGAAAGAGTCGTGCGCAGCGGTGTCCGTCGAACGTCTTGTAATGAAGAACAACTCCAGATTTGTACGCCGGACAAACGACCGACCGCCCGCCAGCAAAGCAATCACCAGGCGGTTCGAACTTTTACCATGAAACGTGTTTACATGTGTGTGTGTGCACGTCGAACGGTTTGAGTGTGTTTAGTTTTCTTTTACGCGTATGCGAGCGCGCGCCCTGTTATGTACATCACCTGTAGGAAAAGGAGTCGTCGGGGAGCTCATCGTCGACAGAATACACGCCGTCGTATAGAGAAATTAAAGGCGCCGCAATCGCGTATCCCGTGTTAGGGCCGTACACCCGCGCGGGTGTGTTCGTCCGGTTGCCCCCGCCACAGAACGTGTACGTGTCGCATCACCGGAGTCTCGTAATCTACCATAGTTCCCGAGCGACGGAAAGGGACGGCCGTGTGTTGGTAGTGCGGGACACTGACGCGGGGGGCCTGCATGGACGGCCATCGTCATCGTCGCCGCCGCCGCCTCAATAACAATACGGCCGTATTGTGTTGTTATCGCGCGAGTAAACGAACTTTTCCGCTGCCGTCAAGGTGGCAACATTGCGGCGGCCCATCGGTTCTCCGACTAGGCTTATCGCGCTTCGCTCCCTCCGCCGCTGACCGAGGGGATACGTCCGTCGGCCATCGCCCCGTCATCCGTAGGCCGTCAGTACGCGCGCAACAACGTTGTGATATCGTCGCGCGGCACCGACAGCGGTATGAATACGACATCGACAACAACAACAAGCAGCAGCAGCAGCAGCAATCACGAAACCGCAGTGTAGTAGTAGTTTTATGGGAGCAGCTCCATCCGCAGTGTTCGCAGTTTGTGTGGACGACGACTAAGAGTGCTGGTAGTGTTTTGCGTGCCGTTCTATCGTAAAGCAGCTTCGGCGGTCGACACAAGCTGCCGAGGAACATTTGCCGAAGTGGCCGAATTCGGAAGCGAACGGTGTGTTGTTTAACACGAAAAAAAAACATCGAAGGGAATCGTCGACTCAAAGGTCGTTTACGAGCGGTTCTCGAACGACCGACGCGCGCGTGGCTCGGAAACACCATTCGGTGGCGTTCAACACGTGTCCGCGCCTACGAGTGCCCGCCGGCACAGCGTTTGGTACGCCGTCCGATCGGTTCCTTAGTCTCTCGCGTCGTCCCGGTATCGATGCTCGCTCTTGCGTTCCGTCCTCAACGGTTCGTCGTCAGAACACACATATCGTCAGGTAAGTTTTTCACGTTATAGTGTTGTATTATTATTATTTTTCACTGCGTTTGTCGTATATTTTAAACTTTGCAGTATATTCAAGTTAAATGATTCCGACCAAAACGCTCCTTTTTTAAAAAAATACCGTTTACTATCCAGTTAGTCGGTCAGTTTCCAGTCGGCACTGACACCGTGTCGAGATTTCGACGAAACACAAAANTGTATATTCAAGTTAAATGATTCCGACCAAAACGCTCCTTTTTTAAAAAATACCGTTTACTATCCAGTTAGTCGGTCAGTTTCCAGTCGGCACTGACACCGTGTCGAGATTTCGACGAAACACAAAAAAATGTTCGGCGTCTGTTCAATGTAGCGGTTTCCTCGGTATTCGACGACACGAATACGAATCTGTTATTTTTTTGTTTTAAATCCATACAATTGCGCATGTATTTGTCGCCGCCGGTTCGTTTCCGAGATGAATTTGAATGCGAGCCCCGGTCAGTGTCGGTCACGTGCTCTACAATGTGACGATATCGTGAAGATCGATTGTTTACAAAGGATCGGTAATCGCATTTAAATAATGATAATAAAAAAAAGTACCGATCAGACGGGTCACAGAAACGTTTCTCTCGATTAACGGACGAGATAAAAAACATTTTTATATGGGATCGTTAATTTTGTTTAAATCGACCGACACTTTTCGGTAGCGTTTAATAATAATAATAATAATAATAAAATTTGATAACATTTATTGATATTATTATTTCGATTAACATTATTTTATTGTTATTTATTTATTTTTTAAATTTTGGTTTTTTCGTCGAATAATTGCTAACATCTTTGCGGCCTTCGAAAAAACCGAAATTACAATAATAAGCTTAGTTGAAACGAGTGCGTTACGTCGCTCGCCGTGTTTTGCGCATTTCACAATGATCCGGTCAGGCGCTACAGGTAGGCAATCCATTATCCGATGTACGTTTACACGACTATGGGGCGATGATTGACGTCTCGCAAAATAATACGACCGTAATATTATTATTCATTATTCGGTGGTGTTCAACTGTTGGAAGAACACGGACGTGTCGCTTTGTGCGTCGTGTGTACATTGACACATCATTGGAAAAGCATACGTTTTTATCGACGTTATCAGCGTTCGGCGACCATTATTATGATGTCTCGGTTTTTTGTCCGCTGACCTTTGACGCGGTCGCATGTGTAATAGATTGATTTTCTTGGCGGCCACCACTAACTTTAAACGCGCGCGTACGTTAATTCTACGCACAACGACTGCGACGGTTCTTGACGGCGGCGGGTCCCTTACGATGACCTCCGCTCATTCAATTTCCTGCGTTTAATTTTTTTTCTACGTCCCGTCTTAAATTGGTATACAACACTCGACGTCAGCAGTGTGAACGGCGCGCGTGATCGTGCGCGTATGTAACGGAGAGCCTCGTCGTTTAACGTTTTTAAAAATTATCAACCACATCCACCAGTCCGTGGGAACGTCAGCGAATTAATTAAATTCAGCGCTCGACGTGCGATTTAATTTCCAAAAAAAACAACAACCAAAAACAGTTTTAAAATTCCGGCGACATTTACATAATAAAAAAATCAACGAACTTTATTCGCCGTAACGATTACTCGTACGCCGTATTAGCTTTTAGACCGTCTCGACTTTAAACGACGCACCTCGACTATTTTCTGCCGTCTCGACGATCTCTAAACTTATCTAAACGATGTCCTGCACGAATCGGAGATCGCAATGTACGAACGGTCGCGTTAAAAAGATAACGACCACGCGACTCAAAAAGAACATCGGACCCTCGTAATCATCAATAACGAATTATTAATCCAATACACAACGTTAGTTCAATTAATATATATGTAATCGGTTAATGCAGCGCATTATAACTTGTTTGTGTGTGTTTTTCGCATACCTCTGCGATAAATCACACACGGGACGCATAACAACGATAACGCGTTATCGGCCTGTGATCCCGAGAGCTCCGTTTCTAGAGCACGAGAAGTACACCGCAATAACAATTAGTAACTAGACTCGGTACAGATTCATGCCGAGCGTGTTAACGTGCCAATAGTTAGGCCACAGGTTCGACAATCATCGTTACGCGAGTCGTGGCCTTGTGGCATTTGTGTACTACTATTGGAGCGCACACACACGCGCATACATCACAACGATTGTTTGTCGAGCAATAGGTAATCTCTCTCGTTAAAACGTCCGAAGAGCCGCTAGGTTTTGTTACAATTGTTGGCGCTCCGTGTTTTTCACACGCGTTAATTACACCCGATGATTATTAAACGTTATTATCTATTGTCTATCCGACCTCTATCGCGTCCGTTATCGTCGTTGCCAAACGAGATATTGATAAGGTCGTCTCGTTTTGAGGAAAACTTTATCGGCACAAGAGAAGACGGGGTAATGTCGGAGAGTGGTCGTACTTGTCGTGTTCACGAAATCATCGAATTAAAAATACGTGACCCGTTTAAACAAAAATGTAACACTGTGAAATTCGGACTCGATATCCTCTACCGGGCTACCCGGTGAAAATATCACCGGATAGCCTTCAGTTCCGTTTAGTCGAATCGATAGTAATATTGGGTAATAAAATTCGTTTTATACTTTTTGTGCGCGCCGTATCGCTACGACCTCAATACAACTGCTTGCGCTCGCAGAGATTAAACTCGTTAGGACTGACCGAAGGGGCTGATGCGTTTTCGTGTGCTGCTGCTGTCGGTGACTATATTCAATTGGATACAACGCAATCGCGTTCGCCGTGTGACCGTCGGAGAACGACCAAAATCGCTGGTCGGACGCGGTCGTTTCAGGTGAGAAATTGTCAGAAAATTTACATAGTACTTTGTGTGTGACGGTCACGCGTCACCTTTGTACGCGTCGTCCAAGGTCGAGAGCGCACAACTAGTTGCACCGCCGATGCCTTTCTGCGGTCCGTACATTGTCATCGTGTACACGAAACGTTTCTTAATTTTTTCATTGGCGCGTTAACCGCGGTCAATTAGTAGTAGTCTTGTAATTATTACGAAAACGACAGAAAAACGTTTGTTTTTATTTTAACCTAGGCAGGCCTCGTAATGGGCCACCAATTAGTAAAACGCAAATAGAATTTTGTTTATTTTATTACACTCTCGTATATCGTCGACGTTCGTGATCGTTGGCGACCGTAGGGGTTAAGTTCAAATAGAGTTGACGGGAACGAACTTTGCGGACTGAGCGTGCGGCGTTTGTGCGTATTTCACATTCGTAATACAATCGAAATAGCGAACCAACGGCAGCGGTGTTGTTATCGGCGACAACTTCAATTTGTGTTAATCAGGCTACTGGGATTGCCGCCGCCTCTCTTGCTACTCTCATTATCGCCATGGTTTTTCTGGTGGGTCGTTACTAGGAAATGTTTCGTTCGCCGCAGTAATCTATTATTATCGATACCGACCAATTCGGTTTACCCCGTTTTACGATTCCGCGAACACCCCGACCGGGTTTTCGCAACGTTTTCTTAGAATCACCGAGCGTTGTCGTCCGCGCGTCGCTTCTCTCTGTGGACGGCAGTAAGCTAGTAGACGATGGCCGCGTAGTGTGTGTACTGATCGATAAATTATCGACTGGGATTTTTCGTTCGAGTGTGTTTTTTCGTATTAGTGCGCGTTGTGAATTCCATATACGCGATTCGCGTACTGCGTTTTTTCGTAACTTGACGAGCGGCCGGAGGATCTCGTGTGGCCGGCAGGACGGCGTGTCACGGGCAACGGATGGCGGCGACCGCCAAAACCAGTAGTTACGGACGGTCGAGTGAGTGTGCAAAAATATGTCAAAGAGGTTATGAAAAGTTGTTTTTTTTCTGTACTCGTAAAAAACGGTTTCCAGAATGTGTTCAACGCGCCTTTCCAATGTTCTCGTTGACGTAACGCTGTATTCGATATGCTGTCGGGTCGGCAATGGCTTTTGGCGGCCGGTTTTTTCTAGTCTAAGGAATCGACGTTTTTCAAAAGGCGTACACGAGTAGTCGGACTGAGAATTCGTTTAGTCTATATTTAGTTTATTTAGTCTATTCGTCACAGATAAATTTCGCGCACGGATTATATTTATTCGGCAAATAGACGAGTAGTTGAGAACTCGGCTTTTTATGACGTTCGTATGTGTTTTTACAACTGACGTATTGTATCGGTGCCGCCGATATTGTTGGACTCGTTAAATAGAAGCATACTTGTCGTTATTATTTTTTTTTGCGCGCCGGTCGCGTTTTTAACTTCTAGGCATAATTCCATTGACGGATTCGTCACTATTTTTGGCTCGTCTGCCGTTGCCTCGGCATCCAATACGTTTCACACCCCATAGATTATGTCGTAATCGAAATCTTTTTCGATTTAGCTTTTTCGAACGCGCACATTTTATGCGATTCGCATTTTGGTGTGTTGACATCGTCGAAATATCGAGTCGTACGTTTTATGTTTTTCTACAAACTCCGTCGTCACTTCGCCCTTTCAAAATCATCGAATATCTTTTACAAAACGGACACGCGGGTCCGAATGTTGACGACCGGTTTTTCGGAGTTTTAACCGACGACGGCAGACGACAGTGGACGATAAGTGTGTCTTGTCCGAAATGAAAATATTTAATTGGCAACGTAATCGCTGATCGGCAGCGTTGTTTATGTCGTCGGCAATAATTGTCGCGCCATCTTTTTTCGATTTTGTCGTTGTGGGTTTTTACAACTCGGTACGCGCACACGATTTAAATAACCGTTTAACAGCCATTATAAAAAATTACAAACGTCAAGACGCTCCGGGGACGAGTCGGTTGACGGCAGCCATGTGTTTTACCGTGTTCACATATATTTACATGTTATTACAAGTATTTACATATTTTCCCGATAATAATAACGACGACGACAACTCTTCTGCGTGACCCTATTGTCGTGAACCCATTTCGGTTATAGGTCGCATTTGTGTCGATACGTCGTGTATCGAGTACACTGAACACTCGAACAAATGTGTGTGTTTTAAGCGAACTATTTTTTTCTTATGGTTTCCAAACGGACGCGCAACACTTGCCGACGCCCGTTTTTTTCATTCTTATTATTATATAGTACGACACGACTAATTAAAACCTATACCGGAGCGATTACGAGAAATAAATACTAACACACTCGGCTGTATTTGTTCGGGTTGCACGTCGTATTGGTCCTTTGTTAGGAAATATCGAACGAGTGTTGAATAACGGAGAAAACAAACGAAACAAAGAAAAAGAACACCCCCGTCAGTCAAAGATTTTCTTTGAGTTGTTTTTATTATTTGTTTCTTTGTCTAACTGAGCTTTGTGATGTATATCCGTGTATTCTTTTTCTGTTGAAAGTTCACACTTTTGTCGACCCCCTCCGATCTCGTTTGAGTAGACTACGTTCGCGGACACAACACACGGTAGTGTCGACCGTCGTATGATATCGCACATACCATACACTATATACTCGTGCACATGATTTCTATTGGACGTCTTCATTTCGTTTGACTCGACAGTGTGAGCTGACAAAATCATTTGGTCTACACTACTACTGTGTGCGACACGGGATACTGCCCACCCCTTTCATGGACGGGACCTAAAAAATATTTGGCGCGGGGAGTGAAAAATTGCCGATCAATAGAAACCTTTTTCTTCGTTAGACTACAAAAACAAACGTTATTATTTTTTTTTTGCGTATATTCAATCAAAATCGTTCTAGCCCATAATTTTGCGTTATTTGGACGCGAAGGGTCGTATTTTACCTATCCGACTGCGATATACCGGTTGCGATCGATTGTTCTTTTGATAATTAAACAATAATNAGAGTACCGGTTGCGATCGATTGTTCTTTTGATAATTAAACAATAATTTGTTAAAAACGATTCCATTGGAATATATGGGGCGAAAACNGCGATATACCGGTTGCGATCGATTGTTCTTTTGATAATTAAACAATAATTTGTTAAAAACGATTCCATTGGAATATATGGGGCGAAAACATGTTATTGCCAATGACGCGTTTTAGTCTATAAATATTTTTCAAGTTTACAATAAACGATTGTTAAACGTTTCGTATTTTCGACCATTGTTTTGATTTCTTTACTAGTCGTTACAGTTATTAGTCGATTGACTCTTAAAAAACACGGTAAATTGTTATGATAACTGCTATGTTATTATTGTATGTATTTATATATATTATCATTTTTCTGTTACTCGTAACGGTTAAAATGGTTGTTACACATTTAATAATGTAAACTAAAAAATTTGTGGGCCTTTATTTTTAATATTGTTTACCTTGTGTTATAACAATATAACAGTCAGATAATCTCTTTAAACTTAATTCGGGCTTCCCTTCCCCGGTGTACAATTTTTTGGGTTTTTACCATTGTTAAAAAAATCGATTTTCCGATTATATCCAACGACTTGTTTAATTGAATTTCTAATTTTCTCATCCCTCGTACAGCCATTATCAATAGCCTTTTCATTTCAATTATTATACACTTGAGGTGGGGGTGGGTGTTAAATGTAATTTTTTTGTCATTTTTCGTCTTCGATTCTAAAGACATTTTTTCAATAACAATACATATAGATTCTGACTAGAATTTAAATAATCCATATTTATAAAAACGCGTTACGATGGTGGATACCCCTTCTAAAAAGCGATTCTTTCTTTTACTTTCTTATCGCTTTTATCTAATTGTACGATTTTACTACCAATGTTTTCTACGCATTGTCGGCGACGACATAACGGACTTGTCGCATAGAGAATTCTATAACAACGACAATGGCGCCAGCGTAACGGCGTTTATCAAGAACCATATGTCGGGTATAAAAGAGAGAGCGGTGGTCGCCGCCGCCCTTCTTGTGATTTTACTTTTATCGTTAATTTTTACAGCACGATTGTCAAAACTGTTGAGCAATATTATAATTGTTTTTTACAATTGTTTATTATTATTATTATTTTTTTTATCGACTAATCAAATAATTATCCAGCAATAAAAACACACGCAATACATGGGACGGTTATCGTCGCGCACTTGCACGGCTAATTTCCAATCGATTGTTGTCGGTCGTTAAATGTAAATTTACGCGTAGCGTTTTGTACGCGCGCCGCCCTCGAAGACGACACCGCCACCTCTTCGTTTGTGCAGCCACTACCCGCACGCGCCACTTGTTACCAAATAGTAACTCATTATTATCGACGCCGTCAAGTATTGACCGACACCGCGTCTCTCCAAAATCGCGGCCGTACGCTAATCGACGCACGTAATCCATGACACGTAATTTCGTCGATACGACAACGCGCTCAGGTTGTGTAAGGGCGACGCGTCTTGACGTCCCCAGAAAATATGTTTAACGTGTTTCGCGTGCATTTCGTTATTTGACGCTCGCGGTGGCCTTCGACATACATTCGAAGAAACGGCACACACACTACCCGTCCGAGTTTTGCAACGTCGTGTATCTGTTACTAGCAGCTGCCTTTGCGGTCGCGTTCGGGTAGAGCATCTCGGCCCGCCGTCGTCACATCGATATCGATCGACGGTATTTTTATTTTTTCTTACTCTTTCGAGTGTCGGCTAATGATGCGGCGGTAATAGCCGCTGTTGTCGATTGTCTCTCATAAGGATTCTTATCCTCGTTTACGGTTTCTTTTTCGCCCGCAACCCCACCCACTAAACACAATGCGAGATGAATGTGTGTATTCGGGGAGCATAAATAAAATTAACGCGTACGCGTATGCTTATATGTGTAAAAAGCGTTAACGTTTTTCGGTTATTTGTTTATTACAAGCTGACCCCTCCCCCTGTATTGTCGTCGTCGTTTACGATTAAACACTACTATCGGCAATGCCCGTTTTTTCTTAATAAATCGCACATCCAATGATATGTTCCTCCACAGATTACACTATTAATTTTTGCACCGTTGACGCGATTGAACTCGTGTATATCTAAAGGATGCCGTTACTTCGATGCGACCACTCCCTGTTGACGTGAGCAGTTCCTCGTGATTCTTCTTCGATATCACCGAACGTCGGACGACATCCTAAACAATATGACAAAAGCGGGTTGCGTTTCCCCCTCCTCATACACATTCATAATCGGACCGACAGCGCGTCAATACATTGCAATATCGCTGTTCTGTTTTCATGTGTGTAAAATTTCCATTTCGTGGTGCCACCAGAGCGTTGTCGGCTCCAACAATATCATAGGCAGTACCGCGTATTCAATGCGCGTCTTTGGCGGCGTACACCCACGAAAAATAACGGGTATCTTCGCCGACGCCGGTCAAACGACCACCGGTGTGTGTACGACGGACTATTAGAACGGCGCGCGGCGCTGTTCCGTTGCTGTGTTATGGCGCATTTCGCGTGACAATTCATATTGTTGCCGTACAAAATTTACATTTGTCGTTTCGCGAGGACCCTCTCCATCGGTGCGGTCGTCGTCACCGACAAATAGTTTACGGTTTCATCATCATCATCATCACCGGTCGAAAAGAACCGGTTTGGTCACTACACGAAGAGGCGCGCTTACAACTGACTGCAGCGTGTTCTCTCGTCTTGGGCGCCCTTCGAAGATAGGTTAACTACGAATTTTTTACATATTCGCAGTTAGCCAATGCGTTGTCGTATTACCCTCGACCGATCACTCCGCGGTCGTCCGGTCGGCCGAGCGAAGGTGTTGCTCTTGAAAACATTATTGCATTCGCCTTGACACGGATAGTGTCTGTTTATGTGAGCGCGCGAGTGCACCTCGCGCGCTTTCAATTATTGTTGCCGTTTTTATTGTCAC